TGAACAAGTCGGGGACACGTTAAACGTTTGGATAATTCCCAACAGGAGTGAATTACGAATCAGGGTATTTATAATAACAGGATAATGGAATGAACAAGAACAAAGTTTCTTCTACACCTTGCGTTCGGATGATAACACAGTATATAATCTGTGTCCATCATACTATGCATCCGATGATCTTTCTCCATGGCATGGCCAATGTTAGTTGTTCACGTGCTGTGTGACCTTGAACGTTTCTGACAAGGCAGTGATTTGATTGGTTTCTATTTTACTTTTTATCTTATTCATTAGATTTGATCCTATTTTCTATTCGGTGTGTAAATGCAGAGTTACAGAGTAGTAGTGGCAAGGCATAATAAGGTTTGATGTCAAGTGTATTCGGATGCTTAGTACAATGTCCAGCGTGACCAAAGAATAAAAATTGTCTTAAAATCCGAGTTAAATAAGATGCAACCTCTTGTTATTCTCTGTTTACTGACATTCATTTTTTTCGGGAAATGAGATAAGTTCTTTTTTTAACATTCATGACAAGTTGCTACGAACTGTCCTATTGATTGGTGACTTTTTAAGACGCAAACTATTACAACCAATATAGAGATTAAAACAAGGCACGGATTTGTCGACTATAAAGCTGGTAGTATAAAGATGTATTTTATGATAGATATAGACCCGTACTACCGTACTACAGAAGAAACCCATGTAGTTAGGCGTTCCCTGTTACACACACACGCACACACATGAATCGCACAGTTGTGCTTCAACGGACACGGATTGGTACAATTGTATGCGCAAACCCATCTCGTTCTCTCTGTCTCGNCACACACACACACACACACACACACACACACACACACACACACACACACACACACACACACACACACACAAGCGGTTGCCACCTCCAGGCTCACAACCGATCCGCATTTCACAGTCAAACGAACGTTAGACCGCAAAACTGCACATGCCTAACCTTCAGCTGTCACATTTTGTGACAAAGATTGATTAGGTGAGTAGACGAGCGAGGTGTGTGTACCTTTGTTCCATGGTGCTGCACGTGTGAATGCTCGACTGTAGCACAATCACAAGTAACTTTTCGCGGGAGATCACAGTCCCGTCCTGATCGAGGACCGGTTCACGCGACAAGTAAGTTCTTAACACTATGTGGACATTATTCATCTATAAATTTTTCATTATACAATGCTCTTCACTGTGGCGGTAATGACCAACTGATACACCAACACGAAAACGAACTTTTGATGAGTAGAATTTTTCTCTACGGTTCCGTTGTACTTTCGCCCGGCGAATCTGTGTCTCAAATGGCAATGCCTGATCCCAACTCACAATCCCATCCACACTCACCCCACCCCCCACCCACCCCACCCCAAATCGTTTACGTGTATCTGTGGTGAAATGAACGGGTCGCTTTGTGTTGACGTGTCGCTGCTCGTGAAAAACAGGTCACAACTGGCAATCGCTACAAGACGGATGATGATGAAAAACACGTTTGGTCAGGTGGAACTCTTCGGGTCTGAGCTTTCAGGATCCATGTGAAGGATTCGAATGTCTTAGTCCTGGCAATGCGAAAAGCAAATAGTTTCGACCGCGAAAAAAAGGAAAAGAGTTTTCTTTTCAAACCAGATCGGCTTTTGAGTTGGGATCACCAATTGCCATTGGAAACACAGTTTTGCCGGGTAAAANCGGGTAAAAACGTAACTGAACCACAACTGAAAATTCTACTCAGCAGTGTGTTTTTAGCTCAGTAAATCATCTGGTAGTATAACGAGGGGAATAGAAAGGCCGACCATAGACCTCCCACATGAGAAGTAGAGTGCAATCGAACATCCATTATTGATATAAAGCAATGCCATCATTTCCGAGCATTTCCGATTGTCGATTTGCTCTGTGAGCTCCTCTAATTATACTTCGTATTTCCCGGGGTAGGTAATATGGTGTACGGGTGGGCTTGCGACTATCGTAGATTGAGACCAAAGTGATCTATCGGGTGAGTCACTATGATGAAAACACACTGGAATTTTCAGCCGCGTTTCATTTGTACTTATAGCCGACGCAAGGGTATCAACTGGCAGTGGGTGATCACAACTGACAAATCCGTCCACAAACCCCATCCTGATTCGTTTGTGTGTGTGTGTGTGTGTGTGGCGGGGAGAGCCGGCCGCTTTGTGTTGACTTTTCGGTGCCCTTGAAAAACAGGTAACAATTGTCATTCATTGCAAGATGGATTTAACTAACAAGTAGTCAGGTTGTGAATGTCTCCAATCAACTCATAACCCTGGAAGCTATCACTGAGATGAGCGAGGTCCGTGGCCTGCAACAAGCTCGCAAATATGGGTTGTGCTATATCGTGTGAATGGAAATTGAAAAACTGTCTGATCAGCTTCCCGGTGGCCGAGTGGGTAGGGTGCTTGCGTTCTGACTGTGAGGTCCCGGGTTCGCGATCCCCAGCTGGGTCGATGGATTCGCACTGCTGACGAAAGCCAACCAGGTTGAAACAGCTGTCCAGTGTTTCCTAGCTTTTCAGTTCACGCTTCATTTGCTATATGCACAACAAATTTCCCTTTGAAAATACAATTGGTTTGGATGACCGCGTCAGGACTGAGCCTTCGGGAAACATGCGAACAGGCACTTCAAACTGTAACAGGATCACATTCCGAGTGTACCGTTCTGGTGTCACACTGAGAGCTCCATAAAAGATGGAATTTTTTCGCTGCACAAAGATTACTTGATACTGTCTATTTAAACCCTGTGTTATACAAACAGTGGGTAATAATAACTCATGGAAATAAGTAACGCAAGTAACGTAGTTTTCTGCAATCCTGTTTATTTTGTCACAGATTTCCCATACACCACTGACTAACATGCTATATCGCGGTTTCTGGAATTTATTCACTTCTATTGAATCCCCCGACGGATGCAACGTAGCAGGAGATTGACTGTATTCGGAAAACCCAACGGAGTCCTTCGCTGTACAAGCAAGGTCTAAACTGCAACGAAAAGAAGACACTGCACTTCGGACGTGATAAGTGACTGCAAAGTTAGTTGTACTCAAGGTTAAATATAGAAAAGTATCACAACCCATCTGAATGCGCCAGGACGACTAAGAACTAAAGATAAAATCTGGCTCGATGTACACTTTGTCTTCCGGAATAATACTTCTTCATAAACCGTATTGCATGCGTTGTAAGCCATGTTCAGCGGATATGGTTTTCTCAACCTAAAAAAGAGTAAGTAACAGTCAAAGTGGGCTTGCTGCAAAACAAACAGGATCCAACGTGAAAGCAGCAAAGGAACACTTTGAGGATTGACAACTCCGCCAAGTGTTTGAGACATACACATGGGGAATTTAAATATCAAAGTAAAACTCTACATCCAGATGATGATGGGAGAAAGAGATGAATGAAAGAACCACGGAACAGTTCTGTCCCCGCATAGATCTAACGTAATCTTGCAACTGACCATAAGTGGTTTGGTGTTTTCTAGTCTAACTCGAATTTAGTCCGTTGTTTTTCAGTGTGAGACACAGAAAGCTAAACAGGTGCATTGTTATGAAGACAATGTGTACCAACATAACATGCGTGGTGGCTAGTATACGAGAATCAATTAGTATTTGGACCGGATTTCCCCAGTCAACAGTGAGAAGAATGCCAATGTGAACCGTATCGATATTTTGTGTTGTGTTTTAACTGTGTGACACCACTAGACTGTGTGATGACATTATTGAATCTATTTGACCAATAGCACAATTCTGCAGTCAAGTTTTTCCAACTACACAATCAAATCAATGCGCCACCTGCACTGGAGCTTCGGGTGTGTCGAAAGGTGCAGACAATCGATCTTTGAAAAAACAAATATACGCTGAACTACCTTACCTTCAGTGCTTTATCTGCTGGTTAATTACAGTATTATAGAACTTAGAAAATAAGACAGGAAGAAAATCAGATTAGGGTTTTATTATGCGTAAAATGAGAGTTTAGGGTTTAGGAGGTGGACGTTCCAATACTGATCACATAATGAGTGATAATCTTTTGTGGGGTGTAAATATTCGACTGAAATGTTAGGTGGGGAGGGGACATCAAACACATGACCACGAGGGGGAGGAGGAATTTGACGAACTGTTTCTTATCCCATAGCATGGGTTTGTTTATTCCAACCGCTACTGTCTCCGCTGTAGATAAAAGCAATCAGGCTTCAAAGCCCATAACCCGGGCTCCCACCATTGTGTGTGTAGTCTAGGCTAGATGTATAGCAACCACACTCGCACCTTCCCTTATCGCCTCTCGACTGATCCAAGCTGGACTGTGTTCTCTTATTCGATCACCCAAGTGTTTGGTGGTGCTGCCCATGGTTGTAACTTGCGCTACAGGAGAAAGTAAACTGGCGAATACAAAACGAGGACATTTACAGCAGAAAAGATAGCGTTTTCCGATTTCCATCAAAATTTCATACTTGTAATCTACTTCCAATATCATACATCCCTCTGCCAACAATCAGCCGCACTTCTCAATCAAAGAGCAAACTACCGGTTTGCGATTTGATTGATCCAGTTTTGAATCCATCTAACAAGAAACGCATATTTCACAAAGTGATACCTCTGCATCTGATAATAGTAATCTGAAATAGATATCTGAACACAAATTACCTCGGGGGTCACCTATGGAGAATTGGTTTAGTTCGGGTTTCGAACGCTACCAAGACTGCTTTACGCACAATTCATGACTAGGCTGGGTAGATGGCAACTTTGGCCGATTTGAGTGGGTCGTGCTAGTGGTACATACCACAACGTTTATCTTTTTCAAAATCCGTGAACTTCTTCAACTGATATCAATCATCATCATCCCCATTTTCATTCAACTAGCCAAATCATTGATCCGTGAAATTTGAAGCTTATTTGAAGCATATTTCAAGGCACATTCCGGGGTAGGTGGGTGGTGGACAGTTAGACGACAAAAAATATCGATCTTTCTCCGCACTTTCAGAACCGCATGGATATCACACGTGAGCTCTGCATGAAAGCACAACTGGCCCTGCTGCCGGAAAGCGCTTATAATCAACTCTTGAATGCATTAGATGTGTTGGATCCACAAGAGGTGTTCGATCTACTCACATTCGCCCCGACCAGCTTCTACCGACCCCCACTGGTGCGGGAATACTTCGACCAGTTGCGTAATCTGTCCAGTCCGAGTGAGTGTGCCCGGACGTGTGGCAATCCGACCGATCACTTTTTTCGTAAATGGTAAGTGGGAAATTAGTTTTTTTTGTGAAAAGAAGATATTTGGTCATCTTTACCATGCGTAACTAACTTGGTTCTGTTACCGGTTAATTGAAAGTATTCGATAGAATCGAAAATTCCAAAAACAATAATACACCGTTTTATGGTAGCAAGCCTGGATTAGCCCGTTCGATTGTTCAGAAGCACCAGGCACTCCAAGCTTGCTACTCTGAAGTTGATTGAGCCATTCGCACAAGGTAATTATGGTCGACAGTTCAGCTCACTCCGGAAGTTCGTGGTTCGAGTACTTCCAGGAACCTAAAACTTACTCACTGTTGACTAGTCCCAAACAGGACATAACAGCTGTCCCGGTGCTCTTTGCCAGTTAACACAAACATTTCCATCGCAAGTAATACACGTGCATCACTTTCATTGGTTGAAATAGTGGGTCCCTTTTGTCCATCACATACAGGCCGAAATGAGGCACATGTCACGAGAATTTAACACTTCGTTTAATTCTCTCAATCGCTGGCTGAAAACAATCAGGCACATATGGAGCACATTGGGTTCATAAATCCTAGTAAACGAACGTGTGCGGATAGACAGGGGACCATTACATTTGAAAACAGGAGGTCATTTCTCCACGGTAAGTGAACTGATTGCGTCAACAACTTCTGGGCGCAATAAACGGGGTGAGGTAACCGGATTGGCAACACCTCACTTATTACCAACAGTTTTCTCTTGCAGTTTGAAAGAGGATTAACTCGATAGATGTTTGGTTGTCACAAGGTGCTTTGCAACAGATCACCCCCGGGATTTCGTGTGACTATGATTGTATCACATCGAGTTCACCGACCACTTCAAAGTGTGTTCGGTCATTCGTTGTGATTGATAACTGGTGGTTGGTTCTACCTGTACGTGTGTCACCGCAACTGCAAGTGAGCTGACATACAGCGTGTGAGAAAGATCTGGATTGCCAATCATGTATACGTTTGTCCAAATCCAATCTATGAATAGAGTTAATAAGTCGAAGTTGAAAAACGGGGAATGTGTTCGTTTAGAGCTGACTTTAACTTTTAGCACACATCGTTCAGAAGTTACTCACTCTTGAAAGATAGTTCGACATGGACGGCTTTTGGGGGTGTGGTTGAAAATGGATTATCTTTTTGCGACTGTTCATTATGGATATGAATGAATCTTTCGGGGTAGCCGTTTCGTAGCAACGTTTTCCTTAGGAATTCTTCTCGTAGTGTGTCTGGGGAACAAATGTTTCTGGCTTGATGGAACAGAGATTTGACTAGTCCGCGTACGTAGGCCATGGGTAAGAAGCGACCTCTCCGTGTTGCTTTTCCGTGAACAGAACTTTGTAATGGACCATATCTAAACGCCTCGTAATGCTAATATCCAAAAATGCTAAGAAATCATTGTTAATTCTTCACGGGATAGGGAAAGATGTGGATAAATGGAGTTGAACTGTTTCAAAAACGATTCAAAATGTTCCCTCTCCCTAGAGTATAAAAATATCGTCCCCATACCGTTTGTTCAAGGTAAACTGGGAGATATTATCGGCTATTTTTGTTTATTCATTTCTAAAATTTCCTCACTTTTATCCATACCTCGCTTTTATAGTTAATTAATATCCAATCACATCAGCGGCTCATCGATTTGCATAGAAAAAAGATGCTCTGTTTTTTTAATTTCTCACTTTCGTGTGATGAACTGCAGACGGGGTAAACCCCATTGTCATGAAGACCTGCTGCTCAGTGATGGAAATCGGTAACCTAAGTCCCGAGGCTTGGAATGGCGAACCAAATAAGTCCCCAAAAGGTTAGGCGTAGTATTGAAATGCGACAGCAAAGCTGCCTACCACCAAAGTTGAGTGGCGGGGCTCGAGCCTCGGACTATGGGGTCCAAAGCACGCCTGTGACAGCGACTAAACCACTGCGCCACTACCACCGAAAATAAAGTGTCTGCGGAGTGCATGCATTTGATGCGCTTGTGATCCCTGAATACAGCAAGCATACAGGAGGGTTCCACTTGGTGCTCTATAGATTTATTCTATCCTGGTCAATAGTACAGCCCGGGTAGACAAACACAAACACACACACAGAGACGCACACTGTTCATACAATCAGTGACCGACATTCTAGGTTATTCAGCATATACATACAGTGAGTTGCTCGTTGATCATGCATTGTTAGGGGGTGTGTGCTTACAGGCATGCATAAACCCCTCTACCTTCGATACAGCTGATCTATTCAGTTGTACAGTAGTTTTGTACTGCTCAAATCGTATGTGAGTAGTATGGAGCAGTTTTTAATTCGCACGACATCAGTAGGGCAGCAACAGGTGAATCAAATAGACCGTTGTACTGTTTGACCACTCAACTAACGTCTTTCATGAGACTGTGATCTGACCGGCCGTGGTGGCCAAGTGGTTAGGTCACCAACTTGTGATCTGGGAGTCTTGGGTTCGAACTTCTCCACCGCCGCCCGTCTTCCCAGGCAGCCGCGGTCCCTCTTCCTGACTGTACATTTGTATATTCAATGAATAAAAAGTAAATAAAAAGACATTTTACATTTGACCGTTTCACATGACATGTTTCGGTCTATGCAAACAGGCAGTTTGCTCTTTACCCACGTTGTTCTTGTCTGGTGGATTCATGAAAGTAGTAAATTCACGTTGAGAGGTATTGCAACACAAATCAATCCAATCAGTAGCACTCGATTGTGCGAATTTCCAGTATTTCACACCGTATTTTTGGATGTGGATTTACAAAATCAACGCATGAACGGTTGGCACAGTGGTAACACGCACACACACAAGCCTTCCATGCGGTGGATCCGGAGTCCAAAACCGGAAAGGGACGGTAGATATGCACTATTGATGAGCTCCAATGATAGAGAAACTTAAGTCTAGTTCTTCCAAGTGTATGGTTGACTGAAACAGTTGAGGATTGTGTGTGAATGTGAAGTTTGAAGGATGGTCAGTTCTAATCAATCATTATCAATTATCCCACACCACGGCTCACAACTGTGAGTTCAAATTGAAATTAAAATGAAAAGAAGTCGACTGTTCCAATAAGAGGAGAAATGACCCAAAGCCGTGGGAGCCTTTACCTCATAAAAAGGCAATATTCTCAGATAAACGTTTGAACCATGATCGTGCAGATAAGGTAGATACAACTTAGAAGTTTGATTGTAACCTTGAAGTACACTGTTAATAAGCTTGTATGTCTTTCAATGGAAGAGCTCGCAAGTGTTTCCCTAGTAAATCCACTGCACTTAGGAATGTGTTTAAGGGGTCTTGCCAGAAAAAAATTCTTTTCAAAACACCGAGGAGATTCTCTGGGAAGCAGCAGTACCACGGCTGAGGAAGCAGGTATACATTTACAAGCCGAACAATCAACTAACGGAGAACAGAAACTATTCTCAGTTGGAGTGCAAAACATGCAAGTTTTCTAAGTCTACAGATTGTGTCCTGAACGTACAGGGACCATGATACGTTGTGGTAATGCAACATCTGACCATTTTCTCACTTTTTATGTTGATATGGGTTCATGATTAGCATAATGGGAAGAAACCCTATCTACGGTTCGTTAGTCAACCGTGAAAACACAGCCTTTTGGCATTTCGAGGCAAAAGTGAAATAAAACGGAGCAAAAGAACCAGTTCACAACATAATTCAGCTTGTTTAGAGTGCCATATTTTGGGTTGGCCTATTCGCTTGTTCACAAGCACCAGACATTGGTGATTGTCTTTGTGCGGAATTAAACATCTTCCCAGGGAGTGAGACCTACACCCAAGATCATCTATCAACAGTGCCCGGCGCCTATGAAAAATCGATTGGGCTAATCAAAACCGGATACGCTAAATTGATTGAGTCGTTCATACAAGGTGGTGGTGGTGATCATCGATTGTGAAATCAAAGTGCAATGGGGTTTCGAATACCAACTGGAAGGCTTACGGTTCGAGTCCTGACGGGAACACAAAATTTATACCCTCCGGGGTTCCCTGCTATTGGCACATTTACAGTTCATAATGTAGGAGAACTGGGAAATTGTTTATCAGTTCAAGTTCGGTTCGGTGAAACAACTCAACACATAAGCAGTTAATCAAGCTTTAATGAGGGTTCTTCGGATTAAGAGATTGCAATGCATGGGTTCGAATCCCAGTGGCTCCAATGGAAGTAAATCACTGATGGCTATTCCGAACCGGCTAGATGGAACAGCTGTAAAATAGTGTTCCTTGGGCTTTACAATCATCATTGACGTGTTTAGTGACTCTAAGCTACGGATAAAACCTAACATGCTAAGGAAATCTCCAATAACGATTTGAGAAAACAATCGGGGGGGGGGGTAATATCATTCTCAGTGCTTCTAATCACAGATCGAGTTCGTTTCCCAATTCTCAACTATCTGTATTTTGAATAGTAAAAATTTGCTATTAAACCTATGTATGTATGTCACGGAGACATGCGTACATGGTGGAGTTTATTTACACTAAACACCAAGCAGACACTAAGGGGACTACGAATCGATTTTACTGCACTCAAAACAGAATTGTGTGTGCTCAAATACAGTCGCGGTTTTCATGCTCAAGTCGTAACCGTAGTAGAAAACCACTTAGCTAAAGTGTACATTACAGTGAACTCAGTGAACTCTGCACAAATAGATCAAATCGAACCGGGGGAAAAAATAATGAATAATTTACAAGCAGCTTATCTGAATTACATTTAGTGACATTTCTGTCCGTACGTGAATACTGTCTGAGCGGAATCGCACAGACTAAAGTGTATTATCTCACGGCTGACTTTATCCAGTACAAAATGGTAGATTTTATACTTAGCGTCATTCATTTTTGTCGTTACGAGAGGTAAAAAAATATACGTTGACGGTCCAGTGCTTGAATAATCGTGTGGCATTCTGTGTACAGGTTTAATCTACTAAGATATTGTGTTTGCTTGGTTCTATATCTTTGATCACAGTATATGGTCTGAACCGCAATCGGCGAACTATATGCAATATTCGCCTAGCACGCCCAACAATCAGTTCTCAGTACTGTACACATATTTGTATCGATCGATCCTTTCCGAACTTTATTGTCAACTTCTTACGAATTCGAATCGATCACCGTAGCCGTACGGACCAACGGTTTACAGGGCGTGCGTGAGTGAACGCCGCGTCACACATACACACACACACACATACACACAAACACACACTACACACATGTGTATTGATGTGTGTCTGTGTGAAAGAGGGCCATCGAACAGAATGTGAATCAGAATTTAGTTACAGGAATAAAACCGTGCATCGACACGCAATTTATCCAAGCCATTGGGGGAGTAGGAGCAATAAAACTGAAGATGAATTGTACAAACTACGCGGGAGTACGAACAAGCCCAATACAAGGTGGTGGTGCTGGTGGTAATGGTAGTGATTGATGGTCAGGTGGCTAAGGTAATCAAAATAGAGACCTGGGGGTCCTGAATTCACACTGCGTCACCCCCGCCCGTCTTCCACATTTTCCCAAACAGCCTTTCAACAACTGCGAATTCGACCCCAGGCTTTCGGAGAAAATTTTCTCCATTCCTTTCAACGCAACTTAGAATCAAATTCAAAAACTTACTTTATGACGTTTGCAGAAGTTAATTGTTCACGACAAGTCAAGGGTTGTGATTTTGAACCTGTATCTAATCTATTAGCACTTGCGGATCATTTGGTGAAACCTGTGTATATTACGGAGTGTACAACCGAAATTCTCTAATTGGACATTTCTTGATCAAGCAACAAATATTACTATTATTGAAATTAAAATTACACCGTTGTAAATAGATGTATTCTCGTAATCCTCGTATCTACACCCACAAAATAACTGAACTGCTTGAAGTTGTTCTGCTATCGCTTTTCGAGAGATTTCATTAATTTTCCATTTGGTGCTGCATTTTATGTCAGCTGGAACTTTTTCCTACATGTGGTTATCGTCATAATTCATTGGACGATTATTCGGCGCTTGTCCTACCTCATCATCCACACCGACTGTTTTGAATTTTCCTGTCTGTATTGGAACTACAAAATGGGAGTGCAGTGAAAACTTGTCCACAACAAATTCAGAAAAAAAAAACAGTCAATCTGACATTTCGATCCATTAGAGTTACAAGTTATATAAAAATTGCATCACGTGCCTGAAACACCTGTTCCTACCTGACCCTTGGGATCTCAATGGTCATAAATCATTGTTAATTTTTGCCCTATTTTTCTTTTCTTTTACTCTTTCCTCTCGACCGTCGTCCTTAAGCCCCGAAATGCGTCCCACTCCTGAGCCACTTGGACTTGTTCACGATGTGATTCTTCCTAAACGCTGTTATTACTTGGACTGAGTATTAGCAAAATGTAAATCCGCGTTGATCTCGCTTTCATACGTGTCTACGGGCAATTATCGAAAATGTGCCATACATTGGTATTATTTTTATCATTATTATTATTATTATAAACACCATTCGAGGCACGGTTTCACTGGAAAAGGCGAAAAGGTGATTAATTCACGAACGCAGACAACTATTGACCTATCTTTATCCGCCCAACACATAATCACATTCTTTCGGAAAACGGTGCTATCACGTGTTACCTGTTCCGTTCGCTGGTTTTTCACACTGCACATTATCAAAGTTCTTGAAACAGTAATCGGTTGTACCCGAGTGGATGAAGTGGTAGGCACGGTCGTGCTTTGGCCCCCGAGGTTCGAGAATCAAACTAAACTTTTAATGGAGGAAGCAGTATTGTTGTTTCCATCCAGTTCAATGCATCGGTCATTCAACAGTAGTCACTCGGGGTTCGCCCCTCCTAGTCTCAGGGTTCAATTTCTCCCCTTGAATGGAAATCGGGTCCTCTTCGCCATAGGACTCCCGCCGCCCCACCCACCCCCTCTGAACTGATTATTCAGTACTTGTATGCCGATTGTGAAAAGTTCAGTAGCCTCGGTAGGATTCCAACCCAGGCATGGAGGCCGTCTACGCTTTGTACGTGAACGCTCCACCAGCTGAGCTACGAGGCCACACCAATAGAACTGATCTTTTCACATTTGAATTTACCCATCCAACTTACAGAGCCATATGGCATCCACCAGTTCGCATGAAAGCTAACTGCCCCGACAGGTTTTCCTTNCTGCTGAGACAAAGGTTAATTGTTGTCAAGTTGTTGTTTGACAGATTTTAAGTTAGCATGTTGATTGTCGAGTTAACGGTTTATCATGAAAATAGCGAAGTTCCTTTATATAGATAACAATTTAAATTTGTCTACTCGGTTAGATCTCAATCCAGCATTTATCATTTAACTCGCTCTCGCTGTACTTGATGTACAGGTTGAATGCGTTTGGCGCCGGCTGTTTACATATGTACCGGCACATATCTGCTAGGTGTAGCTTTTTGATAATCCATATCCTGCGTGTTCATCTGGAGCTCTCTTCTAAGACCGTTCTATGAAGGATGGGAAAGGCG